GAAGTACCTTATCATCCTCATGTGATGCAAATGCATCATCCCACTTCCTTCCAAATACTGACTGCATGCTTCTGCCTTCTCTGCACATCTATGAACACATACAGCGTTTCTTTGGGATCCCTTCACTAAGCACTCGAACAGATAAATTCAGGTCCTGGATCTCACACAGCAGCTGCCAGCTCTGCCAGATTGGGTTCTGGTCTCTGGACTATGTGAAAAGAGATGTCTGAGATTCTCACTAGTGAACTTCTAGACTGAAGATTAAATTCTAGCATGCTTTCTTCTCCAGCCGCTCGCTCCCCTCCTTGCCTCTGCTGCCTGCCCTGTGCCAGTCCTGCACCCCCAGGATTAGCCTGGAGATGGATCCGAAGCAGAAGGAAGCAAGCAAGCTGCCAGGGGAAGATGCATCGTAGCTGTTCTGGTAATACCAGAGCCCTCTGAGACACTGAAGTGTGCAAGCACAATAACGTGTGGGCCAAGGAGAAAGGAGAGTGGAAGGAGGAGGACTTAACATTGCAAACCAGCCTCTGGTCACGAGGCTCCGTGAGCTCCTAAATCCTGCAGAGGAGGCTCCATCCTCACCAGCATTAGACGAAGCCAACTCCCTGTAAATCTGTGGGATTTGAACCCCCCGACGTCCCCTTACAGGACTACTCTGCTGTTTGGGTTAAAACATTGCTTGAAATCGTGTTTTGACAACCACTTCACATCCGCGCACCGTCACATGCTCCAGGTTTACAGGGAAATTGCTGGACGGATGGAGTGTGTGACGGTGCAGGACAAGGCTCTGTCCCTTTCAAACACTTACAAGTCAGCATAGCAAAGCCATAGCAACAAGAAAAGCGCTTGTGTTATTTCCCATCCAAGAGCAGCTCCTACCATTCACTGATTGCATGACCTTCTGTCAGCAGTCATTGAAGCAACCTTTGAAAATGTTTCTGTATCATTTAAACCTGCTTACTTGGCCCTGGACTGTGTCTGCCAAGGTAGCAGGAACATCTCCAGAGCAAAGAGTGAGCCTGGCATTTAATGGATTTCTTCTTCTAAAATCTTTATTCTACCAGCCACCAGTGGAAATCACGCCCAACAGCGTGGCATGAAAAATAAATCCAAGGCTGGGTTCGAATAATACAGAAAAGATTGTCTGGAAAATGACTGCCATAAACTCGAATAACCAATCATTTAAAAATGCTAATATTTATAGTTTGAAAATGAGGTGGAAGGATCATTATAGGCAAATATCAAATATCTTCTTTTCATTCCTTTTTGCTGCTAGATTGGGAAGGTTAAGGTTGGAAGTTCAGAGATGCTTTAATGCCTCAGTAGACACCCTGAAATGTGGCTAATTTGACACTCTGTGGAAAGGGTAAGGGGCCTGATTTTTCTCACAGACATGAGAATTAGTATCAAATGGGAATGAAGGAAGACTCACACCCCAGAAGCTCCTGCGTGTTCTGGTGAACTCAATTTAAGCAACATGGGTCACAGTTGTTTTCCGTCATGCCAAAATAAATGTACTGACTCCAAGAAATATATTGAAATATATTCTGCAGGAACTCTTCATTTTGTGAGCAACCATGTAAAGAGCTCCTCTCCTGACTGTTTTTTGTCCCTAAGCAGAGATAAAATGCTTTCTCTAAGGTTCTTCTGGCTGTGCTTCCTTGTGGAGACACTGCTGCCCTAATACTGATGTGCTTAACAGCACTAATAAATTAGTTACGTGCACACTCTTTTTTTTTTTTCCTGAATAATGAAGTTAAAAGGCCACTTTGGCATAAATTCATTCATTGTTACCCCAAGTGGAGCAAGTTCCTCCTGGTGCTGCTGCATACAAATAATTGCTTTTGCCAAAAGCCGAGTAGAACACAAGGCAGTTGCTTAATTTTTTCTATTATCATCACCAAATGTTGGCGAGTGCCAGGCAGTAAGGTGGCACAGCAGCAAAGCTGAGCGAGAGAGGAACCAACATCGTTTTGTAAATGCTGATATATAAAAACCACGCAGTGTATATTTGTGTAGTGCAAACAAACTTTAAAAGCAGGGTGTATTTTCTTCCTGTTTTGCATTTGCAGCAAAGTCACAATTATTTCTATCGTCTTTAGAGGACTTTTGGAGTTTGTAAACACCTGGAACCCCAACAGCTGCAACTCCCTAACCCTAAAGCTCCCTCCCTGGGAAGAGAGGGAGCAGCAGCCCATGTTTCACACCCCCTGCTCCACAAAGACTGCCAGGATCCTCCAGGAAAAAAGGATGGTACTGTTGTGTTTCTAGTGCAAAGTATGAAGAAGGAAAAAAAATTGCAGGAAAATGCTTGGCGGAGGGAACTGAAGCATAGCATTGATATTATCACATACAATAGGAAACAGAGCATGGTTTGAGTTGTGCTGAACAGGTAATTCCGCGGCTCATTCTGCTTTTCCCCTTTTCCTTCACACAGACTTAGCAGCTCCAGATACAGCCACAGCTGCCTTAGCAGCACGGCACTTGTTTCTCCAGGAGAAGTTGGGTAGTGTCCTGAAGCTCGGAATGGACAGCACCCAAGTCCCACTGGATTTTCTCCACTGGGTCCAACCACCTGTATCCTCTCCAGACTGTTGTTACCTCCAGATCTGATGGAAAGCTTTAACGCTTCAGAAGTCTGAGCAGCAAGACTGATCTTTTGTTATTTTGCTCTCAGGAATCAGTTTCAACAACACGCTGAACAGCAAATTTTACTTCTTCCAAATAGGTTTTTCCCTTGGCTGCTACAGCTTGAAAAGCTTAGAAAGCTGCACTGCCACATACCGATGAGAGCTCAGGAAAAGAAAAACTTTAGAGGCAGGGAATAACATCAAGCCGTTTGATTTATGATCTAAACCAACAACTGCTGGTTGCCTCAGCTGGTCCCTTTTTTGTTCCCATATGACATATGCTTCTATTCCAATCTTAGCTAGCTTCAAGAGAATTCATGTCAGCAGCACATTATATCTATCTATCTAGTGATAGCTCCAATGCAAACTGCTAAACCAAAATTCAGGGTATAAACTTCTCAAATCTCAAAATTACCAATGAAAGTTCTCAGAACAAGCATCTCTGCGCAGCTTCAAAACTCAAGATTCAGTCCTAAAGCCTGCCAGCTTCTGGAGTGTTTTTTATTATGGAAATAAAATCAAACCGCAAGTCCATTTTTCTATCTCTAGAAACCGGGTACAAGAGTTTAATGAAGCTTCGTAACACACATCTCTTAAACAGAGGTTTGGAAGCAAGAGGAATTGGTAGAAAATGCATAAATGGTAACTAGACAAACCTCTCAGACCATCCTTTTCTATACATCAAACTGCCTCAAATGCTGAAAAGCACAGTTAGTCTTCACGGCCCACTGAGTCCTTAACCTTGGTGAAGAACAGGTTGGTACTCACTGGTACAGACAACATTCGGGTCTGCAGTCTCAATGCCTCTCTGCTAGTTGTACCAAGAACCCACAAACACTTTGCATAAACCAAAGGTGGTTGGAATATGTCAACTTTCAATCCTATTTATTCAAAAGTGGTCCTGAAGCAGCCATCAGATGCCACAAAGCAGCACATCCATCCACACCATGTCCCCAGCTCAGCCCAGTTTACCCCAGTCAAGTCCAGCTTATCCCCGTTTACCCTAGCCCAGCCAAGCCTAGCCCAGCTGAACCCAGTTTACCCCAGCCCAGCCAAGTCCAGCTCAGCTGAGCCTAGTTTACCCCAGCACAGCCCAGCTCAGCCAGCACAGCCCAGCTCACTTTATCCCAGCACAGCACAGCACAGCTCAGCCCAGTTTACCCCAGTCCAGCCGCCCCCCAGAGCTGTCCATAGTTCTATCGCCTGATCCAGCCCAAGCGCAAAACCTGGCACGTCGCAGCCTTTCATGTTTCAAAAGCCTATAACATAATATATTGCAACCAAAACCTTAAATGCACTCAAGCATCCAACGTGCGCAAAGGAAAAAATCTTCAAAACACAGAAGTGCTTCCATTTCGTCCTCCAGCAAGAAGGTTTCACTACTGAAGTGATGGAGGAGATCGGTATCTCTCCAGCTCCTGACAGCAAACCCACATCTGGCGTTTTACACTCTGGCAATGGATGCTCTAACCCATGTCCCTTTAGATAAAAGTACCCATTGGGCGCAACTTCACAGTTCAAGCTATCAGCAGTGTTTTCCACCGCTATGCAATATAAACTCTTGCACTTCTTGCAACTGGCAGTAATGTACGAGATCAGATTCAGGTTTCAGCGTGCTGGAAAGAAAATCCAGCACTGGCTTCCAGTGCAGATTGTGGGGAGCAAGTAAAACATACTTTTCTTTTTATAGACGGTTTCCATGGTGCACAGAGGTTCCCATAGCTAATTCTGCAGCTGCAGAACTTCAGAAAATTGCACAGCCCGGGTATAATCCTGTGGCAGTCTGCCCCATCCATTCCCAAATCAAAATCCAGTGGCTTAACGCTCTCATCAAACAACTGAGCCTTCTCCCACTTAGACACGAGAGCCGAGTAGCTGCGGTTGAACTTCCTCAAGTTAACAATCAGTTTAAGAGAGCACCAGAGCAACTGAAGCAAGGTTTGGGTTTCAGACCCCATCTGCTAAATCTCCCAGGCAATTAGGAGGAGGTAAAGAAAAATAATTCCTATTTGCCATATTTATTTTTAAGACAATTTCTTAGAAGAACGGTACGTCTAAAGAACAAGCAGACTGTTATAAGCAATAACTGCAACAATTCCACCTCTGCTCCCCTCCACTCACACGACTCTGAAGTAACCGTCTTTGCTTTCTCTGAGCCAGAAGATGAGAGGCACGCTGCCCTCCCAACTGCCATGCACCAACACTCGCTGTGCTTGGGTCAGAGCCTGACCCGCCTGGACAAACTGGCCATTTCCAAAAGCATCCTCCAAAAATCGATGTGCCAAGCACCAGTCACTCCTTTCACCCCTTCAGCACGGGCAGAAACCTGCTCTGCACCTCGCAGCGCCCTGCACCCGGAGCGCGACTCACCTGTTCCTGGGAATTCATTACTCGCAGCTTCATTTGCTTCAGGTAAGTAGAGGTGAGGGGCATGTTGTAGTCAATGATCCCAGAAACCAAAGAGGAAGGCGGTTCGCTCTCTGAAGAACAGACAAAAAAGTTTATTTAGATATAGGGATGTGGAAGCAAAAAGCTATGATGTGTTCTCATAATCGTTAAACATATGTATTTAGAAGCACTTAAAATCCCTAGCTAGAGCTGGTGCCCGCTGAGCTAAGGTTCCTATAAGAACACGACCCCACCAAGAACATAATTACAGAACAGATGTTGTTCTGGAAAAAAAAAAAAAAAGCATTGCTGTCACCTGCAGAAAAGACTACACATAATATATAATTTTTCAGTCTACCAAACTAGAATGTAGCAGAGAAAGGAACTGAGTCTTGCTGATGCCTCAAAAGCACTTCCATGCAAATGGGATTTATGCAGAGGTTGATGAACAAGAATATATTTGCAGCTTGCTTTAGCATTGCAAAGTCTTGCCAATTTTGCTGGGATTCCCTCAGGTAGGAGTTAACATTAAGGCAACTTATTAAGTATCTCTATCTGGTGATGAAGATTATTTTTAACACGCTCATTAAAACACAAACTTAATTTTAAAGAACTTTAATTTAAATTCTTCCTGTTGATTCCTCTGGCTGCATCATATTGAGCTCTATAGATCACTCTGGATTCAGACCGCTCCTGCAGATCACTTTGTCTAGCCAGACCAGAGGAGTCCCCATAAAGCAAATTCTCAATGATTTTTCTGAATCCTCAAAGATTTGTCAGCTCTGCCATCATCACTGTGGAGCTTGTGAGCTCTCCACTTAGGACATGAAGACCATTAGAATCATCTAACGCTGAATTTACAGGCTTGCGAAAGGGGTTTGTTCAAGAGGAAAGTTGCCATTTCCCACAGGGATGGCTGCCGGCTAAAAGGAGGATTTCTTTGCCCTCAGTACAGGCAGACACAATTGTTGAGAATTAATCCAGCCTTCCAGCACACTCTGAAGGGATGTGTGGTGTCCACTGGAAAGCAAGCTTTTGCAACAACAGACAGGGAAGAAGGATTTCCAGGAGCTGAAGGTGAACCGATGGTGGGAGGTTTCCATTCCCGTCTCTGAATCTCCCTGGCTGGCTTGCATTTTCTGGGGTCACTGGTTTCACAGGCACCTCTGACAGAGCCCCTTGAGAAAGAGCCTTCACAAAATGTTTTACAGCACCTTAGAAAACCCATCAACCCAAACCTAATGGGCCTGCTTTTCAGAAATGCTGAATATCAAAAAACGCCAGTGAAACTCAGCAGACCTGAAGACGCTCCACACCTCTGGAAATACCGATCTATCGTGTCTGATTAAGAAATGACCTGACCCAAAAACTGTCTGTAACTGACTTAAACATCACATAGGTTTTTGCAAATCTTCTATATCAAGACAGTAACTGGGTCCATGGGAACACAATGTTTTTTTTTCACGGGTCCATCTAATTCATCCCTGGGCAGCCAAAACATTCCTGCCTGTGGATGCAGAAAAGGGTGGCCAGAGCTACTCAGGCCACCAGCTCGCTCAAATATGAAGGTGCAAAGCTTTTAGGAACATTATAAACTAATTCTTCCCTTCTTTTCTCATGGCTGTATGTCAGGGGTCTCTGTCATTCTTCGACCTACAGATTAATTAAGAGCACTTCTACATCTCTACATATTAAGCACCCAAAATAATCCATTATTCTACTGTGCAGGGATGTTACTTCATGATGAAAAGATGCTGAAGTCCCAGTGCAAGGGGTGCTTCTCACAGTCTGGTTCTGTGGTGGAAGGGGAAACGGCTCCCAGCAACAAAATGTGCCACCTGCCCAGGCTGGCTGGGGTCATCAATATCTGAGTCTTTAAGAGCAGTTTAAGAAAGCATTTGCTAAGAGTAACAAAGATAGAGCTGCTCTTTCCTTGAAGCACAGGCGTGAATGAGGTGAGTCTTTCAGACCTCTGAGGATGATATGTTGCTCTCCTGCCATCCCCCCCTTAATAGTTCAGCCCTGCAGAAATGAATGAGGCTCAACAGAAGCAGCTCAGCATCCTCACCTGGGGAGGAAGAAGGAGGTAGATGATCTTTGGTGCTTAGATTCTGCCTGAAACCATCCTGATGTAAATCTGGAATAATCCCATTAGCAGCCACAAATTTACTGTGAATTTGTGCAACAGTAACAGATAAGAGCTTGAGCCTGAGAAACCAAAACCTTTTTTCTTTTTTAAGCTAACTGGAAAAGAAAGAAAACCTTTGTTTTAAAAGGCCTGGGGGACTCCGCGGGAACAATCCTCATATCCTACGTCACCAGAGGGGGCTACTGGAATCCTGTAGCTCATTTTTCAAAAAGTTATCTATATCACATGCCCTCTGTGTTTGACATACAGATGGAACAGGCAGAATGCTTTAAAGTAAAACAGTTTCGGTCCTAATTCCACACTTGTATAACTCCACCGGAACTGGTCCTAATTTAATAACAGTGTAAAGAGATCACAGTGAAGTCCAGTGATGTTCAAAGTTTCCCATAAGCAAGACAATTTGCTTTTATGAGTTATGTGGGTGCCTTGTGGGGTTTGATGTCAGATATGTTTAATTAGGGATTTTTGTGATCACAAATGAAATGTGTTGAGATTTGTTTAATGAACAAGAGGTGGGAACGACTCAATTTTTTTCATCTTACTGAATTCAACTTTACCTATATATGCTTGTATGTGTGTATGCATGTGCATACACCTAGGGAACTCCTCTATGACCCCAATGTTTTTTTAGCTGATTTGCTCCCGATACATTCCTGATTATGTATTAGTGAAATCAGACACTCTTCCCCAGTAAAAGTTACTTTATCTAATCTACTCTATGTATTTTCACAGGTACTTAGTCACTATTTAGGTACTATTCAGAGCAGAAAGGCACTTCTGTCCTTCCAGTCCCAGTGGGTAAGAAGCAGGACTTTTTACTTGTTGGATCCTTTGTTTTCCTGTTTGATTTATTTTTTAGAGAACCGCTGAAGGGAAAAGCTTTATGAACGTAATTGACAATTGATATTAAATTACAAATTTGCTCAGGACAGCCAGATCTCAGACCTTATCATGGTTTCCACAGCTAGGACCACTCTGGGGAGACTACCCAGCACACAGTGCCGTGTCGCTGTGGAGGCATGGGAGACGTGGGGATGGTGGGTGGGCAGGAGGGAGTCCCTGAAGGAACAATGACCCTTTTCATCAGCTGCCTCCTGAAAAGGGATCCCAAGCTCCAGGGCGGACGGCTCGGCTAGTGCCAGGCGTTTAGTGCAGTGTCCTGGTTTGGGTCAAGCCAAGAGGCGACATGACATCCTTGTTGGTCTGACTCATCTCATGGCCCTTTCCGTCCACTGAGCCAACGGCTTCAGCCGCAGTACTTGGAATGTCACCCGTGACAGATGCGGCGCAATCAGTGCAAAGGTCAGGTTTGCTCCCAGTGAGGCCAAAGGCCAAAACTTCTCTTGACCTAATTGGAGAGAGGGATCGGGCCCTTAGCCGGCAGAGTGGGAAGTGCCGAGGTAATGGAGCTTAGACTAATAAATGTCACACAGGATTATTTGGAGAGTTTCTAAAAAATATAACAAGTACAAAGCATTTCAGTCGCTAGCTTTGGATACTGGCACACTTAATCCACTTAAACGGAACCTCTGGGCTGTCCCTATCTCTGCTCCTGGCAGTAAACAGACAGAAATCGGTATTTAATATTAGAAATTTTCTATTGTTGGGTCCTTCGTTCATTTAATTCTGCTTCTCTGCTTGATAAGAGCTGGCAAATGAGCCTGTTTGCCTTAACAGTTTTGAAATAGTCTAACTCTCTGCAGTGCACTTGATCATGTTTGTAATTCAGAAAAAAACATACAAACATCAACTTGAACCATTTACTCTGGAAGAAAACCTGGTCCCATCTTATGCACCGCTTATATCTTTTAGGCCTAGGAGCTGCAGATTGGTTCCGTTTACAAAAGAACCATAATGAGCCAACCACCACAATGGCCACACTAATTGGTTGTATACATAGGCATAATATAACTGATTACCAAAACACTTTCCGTTATCAAAAATAGGATCACGACGTGCATATCTATTAATTACTGCAAATTACTTCGTTATCAGAAACTTCAGTTATTTCAGTGTCTTTCATTACAAAATTACTAGTTTAATGGAAAAACTTCAGGTCATGTTTTTTCAGAAATCAAAGTGTCCACCCACATACTATTACAGGTTGATTGCAGGCATATTGGCAATATTTTTGACCCAAACTTTGTATGGTTGCACGGGGGAAGCTCGGAAAGAAAGGTAGACTGCTTCTGCTCTCTAAGCTGAAAACAGTGACAGACGAACCAGATTTAAGCAATTATTTCACCTTGGCTATAAAAGTGCATGAAAAATAACACAGTTTAGGTTAAGAAGTATCTCATCGATGGGGCAGTATCCTGACAGCTATCAGTGATACCATGCCGGTACAAAATGCTGCGTCAACTCTGCTGGCAGAATTCATTTGCCTTTACCTTTGGGCTCCAGTCCGTTGGAGTTGAAATGCATCCTCTTCTGGCACTCGGTGCAACTCATCAGGAACCTGGTCACAGCTTCTCTCGGGAGAAAAGCATAGGTCTCTGCAATCTGGGAAAACAACGAGATGGCTGTATGTCCTGGGCGAGGGAGAATGCCTAACGGAGAGCCGGGCGGAGGGTGTGGGATGCCACGGGCACCCTCCCACCTCGCCTGCTCAGCCTAGTCGAGAATATCAACAACTCACAGCAACACACCATTCCCTTCAGCCCTGTCCTGGAGTCCCTGAATCCCCCCCTCTGGAACAAGTGTTGATGGAGGAACATTTCGGGAGGGTAACTGGTTTGTCAGAAAGGCACTGGGACACAAATGAACAGACCTTTGGACTCCTTGCGTAGCCACTCCTTCCCAGAAAATCCTTTCCATTCCCCCTTGAAGTCTGGGAAGAGCAAAGCTGCAAACGTGTAAGAATCAAATGGGAGAGTAAGGTCTCGTCAGCTCTGTTTGCATTGTTAATTACCATCACACCAGTAACCTGAAGAATCCATTAATCTTTTGTAAGGGCAGGTCACTTTTTCCCACAATGACAATCAATTACTGTTAATAATACTTTGCACTTCTGTGACATATTTTCTCTAGGGAATTGAAAACATTTTTATAAACAGTAACGAATTAAGTCTCCTGAACCTTTACGGGATATTTATATTTTACAGATGAGAAAAAGCTAAGGATAAATATTTAAAACTTGGATGCCTGAAGTTAAACACTATATCCAGACCTAAGCACCCACAGAAGGTGCCTGACTATCACAGAGTCCTCTTATTCCAATTAATCCCTGCCAGCAGCAATTTTACAGTATTTCTAAAGATCAAGACTAGGTTATTTGGAAACGGAATGAGGCAATTTTAATGTAGATTTCTTTAAGGCCATAAGAGACCATCAAATCATGGAGTATGACCTTCTGTGTAGCACAAGTCAAGGAACTTCACCCAGGTTCTCCTGCAGCCCTGTGGTTTCCCTAAAACATCTTCCAGGAAGACATCTGGTCTTAATTGGAAGGCATTAAGAGGTGGAGAGTCCACCTCTTACTTTGGGGTTGGTTCCTATGGTTAATCACCCATCCTGTTTGGTCTAAGTGACTTGTCCTAGCACGGCGGTTCCCAAACCAGAGGCCGCGACCCCAGCAGGGGTCACAGCACTTACAAGTGGGGTCATAAAGCAGACAGAAATTCAATTGTTTGTGCCAGTCCTTGGGGCTGCGAGCCCGGCAGAAGTGGGGCTCATAACGGGAAGCAGGGCTGCAACCAGACACCTCGCCAGTGACAGCTGGTGACGCGTCCGAGCCTGGAAAGCAGCCCAGGATGTCCCGATCCCCCTCCTCTGGCCAGTGGGCATCACTCGCCCACCTGATTTTGTTAATAAAAATTAAAAATACCAAAATTCCAAGCCTTTTTTCTACCCTACAGGAAAGGGTGATGCTTAAGCTTGGAATAAAATAACCTTATCGAAGGCGTGCGATGGGGCAGAGGGCAGAGGGTTTGCTCGATCATGGCTAAAGCAGCCCCATGACCCGACGTTGCGGTGGGAGGGAGAGACATTTATCTCCACTGAGCGGCAGCAGAGCCCGAGGTTTTACATGCATGCTAATGCCAGATGGGTGGAAAGTTCAGGCAGGGACCTTGTCCCAGCCGTTCAAATGGAGGATGCAGTGCCTGGTCCTCATGGGATTCTTCTCCTATTTAGCTCCAGCCCCATCGAGCTCTGTTGTGACTGAGCGGCTGCCCAGCTCAGCTTTTGCCTCTATGCGATATTTATCAATGCACAAGCACTAGGGACTCCCGCAGAAACACTGAAATTAGGGGCCTGAAAATTGCTGGTGGCAAACGTGGTATTGTGGCGCAGGCAGGGAACTGTCCCTCGGTGCTGCCAGCGGGGCTGAGCCCAGTTTCCCCATCTCTTTTGCTCCAGCAAGCCCATAGTCGCTGCTGCAAATGTTCAGCTAATTTTAGTGATACAGTTGTTATTTCTCAGCTGATTTGATGCTCTGCAGAGCAGACAGCTTCCTTGATGAGTTATCTCCCATCCAAACTCCCTTTCTGATTGCCTCCCTCCGGAGGTCATGGACAAGGGCAAACTCTCCGGTGCCTCTAATCAGAAACGGTGGGGAAAGGGAGAGGGAGAGAAATGGTAGGGGACACCGAAACCTCCCGAGCTGACCGCCCAGCAGCATCCCTTTGTGCGCCCGAGCCATGGCGCAGGGCGCGCTATGCAGCATTTCACCTTCCAGACCCGGCTGCAAAGGCGCTCCAGGGAGACAGGGCATGAGCGAGGCCAGCCAGCCCAGCCAGCAGCGTCCTGCCAGGTCAGGAGGGGATACACGCTGCTAATGTGATGATCTCAGCTCAAGAGGGAGACGGAGGGGTGGAGCGTGAAGCTCTCTGACTGCTGCGAGCAGGCCTGGGAAAACAGACGGATCCAGCCTGCTCCCCCGAGGCTGTGCAGGGCACAGATTAGTCCTCCAGAGAGCTGAATTGAAGGAATTAGGGGAGGGTCGGAGCGGTCTGCTGGGGAAATGAGGGGAAAGTTTTTGAATTGTGGTCGTGCTGGTGGGGCTGACGGCCCCGGACTATAAAGAGGTCACCTGCCCCTGGCTGCAGGGGCTGTGCCGCAGGGGCAGGAGTTGAGCGCGCAAAGCATGGAGCGTTGCCACGAGCTGTGTTCAAAGCCCAGCTCCCTGGGGGCTCCCACCACATGCCAGCGGGTCTGCAGGGCACTGGGCTGCCCCTCCGGCACCGCCAGCACAAACAGCCGTGGATGGACCCAGGGTAATACACGGGCAGGACAGGCAGGACAGACTCCACCCCTGAGCCAGCTCTGGCAGCGCATCGAGCCCTGCATAATCTCAGGCATCATCGCAGAGACCAGGGCAGCCTGCACAGACCTCTCCAAGATGATGTATACACCAGAGACATGCGCTGCCAGCCAGCCACTTCTGTCTCCAACCGACTTGGTCCTTAGGGCTGTAGGATTCAGGGGAGTAGCTCAGTTTTGGACAGTAAATTCAGCTCTTCTTGTAAAAGGAGAGCCCAAACGTTTGCATGGAAGGGCTGTGCAGAGTCAGGAGAAACAGCAAGCTCCCTGGAGAAGCACACTTCAAGCTAAATTATTCCTGACCTAACTAGAGTGGTTTCAGGATGGATAGAGCTGGTTCTCAGCATCCATGGAGCACCTGATGAGACTTAGCTCGGTGCCTGCCTCCATTTTGTAATAGAGGAAGCCCAGCCACGGGCTGGTGAGAGCATCCACCCGACCGGGGGAGAGGGGCAGGCTCTGTCTGTCCCCCTTTCTGGCTGCTTCTGCCCTTCAAGGCCCACAAGAGACATTTCCCTCTGGCCGAGAGAGACAGGGAGGCAGATGGCACAGGGCAGAGTGCGCAGGGACTGGGCAAACATCCCCTTGCCCATCAGTAATACTGAGCATTTCTCTTTTTCTTTTCTTTTTTTCCCTCCAGACATGTACAGTTGTCTTTGTATGATTCACTTGGTCTCTCCAAGCAGCCGTACCATCACACTGCCATTGCAGCCCAGTTTCCCGTCTCCCAAGCAGAGCTCCTCTGCCTTTAAATGACTGCTTTCTCACGCCTCCCCGCACAAGCAAACAGGACTGTCCTTTGGCTCTTGCCTCCAGCCAGCGGCTCTGCTTCTACCTACCTGCCCTCCCATCCCTGTCCCCATCCCCGTGGGATATTCGCTCCCACGGCCCCTCTGCCCCTTTGCTCCCGTCCCCTCGCTGCCCGGAGCACGCGAAGGGGGAGTCTCACCGCTCGGTAGGTTTTCTTCTGCCCGGCATGTTTGGGTGCTTTGCCCGGCTCCGACGAGCTTTCCACATGCATCGAGTATATGATGTCAAAGAAATCTTCCACCACAGCCACGCGTTTCAGAGAGATGCCCTCGGGCTCCGACAGTCCATCTGCCCCCTACAACAGTGCAGGCAAGTTGAGTTAGTGTCAGCGATGGGTGACAGGGGTGACAAGATCGGCCCGGGGCTAATGCGGTTGGAGGGGGCAGAGTCGCGGTGCTCCAGCCCCGGGCTGCCTTGGGCACGGGGGATGTGGGGGATAAATTAAACAGTGCTCCAGGGAGGATCTTGCTGTAGCCAGGGCAGTGGCGGCTGCTGCTGTTGTGCTGCTGAAGCTGCCAGTGAAATTGGGCCAGGAACAAAAACAAGAGAAGAGTCCATAGCGGAGTCACAACCAATCAAGAAATTCAATTTTCATAATTTGGGATGATTTTGCTAGGCAGGGAACAGGCAGAGGAAGCTCTTTGGACCTGCACATGGTACTAAACCATCCTGGGAAGCCCCACAACAAGAGGCACCCTCGCTGGCTGCAGTCCCTGTGGATGTGGATCAGCCAGCAGGACAAGGTTTCACTGTGATGTCAGGATACGGCCCTTAAAGGAAGGAGACAGAATCGCCCTCCTTCCCTGCACTGACCTTTCCAAGGCACCCTCCCTCTCTCGCATACGCAGAGCAGCTGAGCGCTGGCAGCAGCAGCAGAGCTCTTTGTGTGTTAGGATGTGCTGGAGAGCAGGAGGCAGTAATTCTGCCACACGGCAGTGGTGACAGACTGGTGGGAGTAGGAAGTGTGGGGAGCAGTGCTCCTCCGAGCTGACTGGCACCAACGGTGTCAGCTCACACTGGCAGGGTGTGCGGCGGGAAGGGGAGGCAGCCTTTGGTACCCGGCAACTGCTAACGGCGTTCTGGCACAGAGCACCAGAGCGGGGAGTGCTAATGGAGACAGTCGGTGGCTACTGTAATGGCATGGGATACCAAAAAAGGGCCGGGCTTCGGGAGGTCGCTTAGCTTCTTCCTTGAAAAAACGCCATTGTTGCATAGACAGCTGTGTATATATAAAAAAAAATATATAATATAAACATATACATACATATATATATACACACACCACATCCCTTTGAGGCCTGCTTTCTGAAAAGGTGTGCATGGATGCCGTCCAGCTGGTACACACCAGGCTGGTGAGCGGCAACCTGCACATCTCAATGACCGGGAAACTATCTTTTTCACGTGCGTTCACAGATCTGTGAATGCCGGCAGAGGATGGTAGGGGTCTGCATACAAAGGGAACACCCAATTTCCTAACCTTTATTTTTTGTCGTTATTGGAGGTTGGGCTCTGTCTACCTTATACAGTCTATAGATTGAATAAATGCTGTTCTTAAGCCACCAGTCAAGGGACTCTCAAAAATCAATCATTTAGAGGGACTGCATTCTGCTAAAGACTATTTTCTTGGGGAAGCAGACTTTTCATGTAAAGCGCTGCCTGTTAAAGTTGGTTCCTCACCCCAATTTTGGAACAGAAACTGCCGTTCTGGGCATGGACTGTGGTGGGACAGGTCGGTGTGCTCACCCGGGACACGGGCACGAGGATTTTCCAACACAAACCACCTCTGCCTTCCCCAGGGAGCCCTGAGCTGTATATAAAGGTGGCTGCAACAAAGAGAATATTGAGAACGAACACAAGGGGCAGGGTGGCAGTGCTGCCATGGTGAGGGTCGGGAAACTTCCCCTGAGGGAGCATCTTTGAGGAATATAGATCTAATTCCTTCTGTCACTGTTCAGGGAGTTTCACTTTAATCGAGGGCACGGGTATTCCCCTGCCAAGGAGAAGCGGGCATTAGGAGGCTTCCTACTGACCAATAATCCTCAGAGCAGGGTTGAAATGAGGATAATTACAGAAACAGGACAAAGAAAAATGCATCAGGAGAAAAGCACAGTCAGATGCGACAAGCAGAGCCTTCAAAATTAAGGTTGTAACTAACCCCGTACGCAAATCACTATTTCCAGGGCCATCCCAACCAACTAAAACCCTCCTCCCTGCATGGCCAGCGGTTCCCTGTTTCCTCCTTGGTTTCAGAACAAATGCAGTTTAGGTAACCCCAAGGTCTGAGCATCGCTACAGCCGCTCTGCTTATCCAGCGCTGCCGCCTTCTCCACCCCAGCGGGATGCCGGAGCTGCCTCCTTGACATCCCATTCCCTGCAGTGACCCTCCCCTGACTCCTCGCGTCTCTCCATCCCCTCGTCAGCCTTGTGACTTCTTTCCCCGTAATGATTATTTAGCTCTGGGAAGCAGGTGAGATGCATGCGGTATCAAAGCCACTGGATATAAGAAGCTGTATCAAGTCAGTGCTCCTAGGATTACAGAGGTTTATATCTAGCAATATAACCAAATGTTGACCTAGGATTTAAGAGGACACATGCGCTGTAGACTACCTCTCAGAGGGGCCCACGCCCCTCTGGTTCCTCCTTCCACACCCAGGATTGCTCACGAGTATTCAAGGCATGAGTCAGAGCCCATAATATCTCAGAACGGCTTAAAAACCCTGAGGTTTAAAAAGCAATAAAAATTCCGTTGGGAAGAAGGATGGGAACAAGGGATGCTTTCACCCCCTCCTGGTCTTGGGGCTGTATTGGAACTTACCTGCCCCCAAAATGAATAAAAGATTTCAGGAGCAAAGCTAAGTGCTCGGGACTAGATGGCATTTTGGGTGCTGACGAGAGGAAGTCCCTTTGCCACCTTACAGGCATCCTCCTTTTCCCTACCTTTGCCCAGCATTAGTTTGTCTCTCCCCCTTCCCAGTCTCTCCTCCTTTTCCATCCCTGCGTTCCCTGTCCCACAGGTCTTGTTCTCCCACCTCCTCCCCACCTTCCCAGCATCATTAGCGCTCTCTCTCCTCTCACCTCCTCTCCTCCACGTTCCCCATCAGGTCTTTTTCCTCCCCAGTGACCTTTGCTTTCCCCACCTCCTCTAGTCCCACATTTTTTCGCTTGCCTCCTCCACACGCCTCACGAGCCCCTGTAGCCCCACGTCCCCCTGGCCCCCGCATCGGCCCCCTGCAGCCGCCCCCTCCGGCCTCTTGCATGGCCCCGGTGCCTCCTTCCCTCCTGTGCCTCCTCAGCCTCCCCTGCTCCATCTCGCCCACCCTGCGCCCTCGGCTCCCGCACCTCCCGCTCTCCTGCGCATCGCAGCCAACTCCTGCTCTCAGGCAACCGGGCTCTATTTATAGCCCACAGCAGTGCCGGGAAGGGGCTGTTTGGGGCCGGGGTCACCTCCCCACCTGGTGAGCGGTGACCGTCATCGCCGAGGCCGGTGAAGAGCAACAAGGAGGCGACAGCCATTT